TGAAGAAAAATTCTCTCTTGGGGCTTGAATCTAGGATACCATTTTTGCAAAATAGAAGGCCGGCCAAGCAGGAACCAAACTCCTCCATTCCAGGCCATATCAGAGTCCACAGAGGATGAAAATTTGTAAGAAAAAATCCATCGCTCATATTAAAAAGCTAGATAATACCTTGAAGTTTCCATGATTTACGAAGGGCAGCAAGGAGAGCCTCGTAGTAAGGCCTCTTACAGACAGAGAAACCTACCAGCGATAGACTCCACTCTTCAACAGCGGGATTAGTTTTTTCCTGTTGAAAGACCAAAACCTCATCTGGTTCTTCACGAAGCTCAACCGTAAGGTCTTTAGAGGACAAACAATCCGGGGTGACGATATTCATCCAACTGCGAACAGAAGAGACGAAAGGAGCGGTCACAGAGGAATGAGAAAGAGGGGGAAAATCGTGATCGAGGAGAGGGGATCCCATGGAGAGGGAGCCCCCACAGGAGGAGAAGGAGGGAGACTGGCAAAAGCACGGCCTGGTTTATAAGAAGGCAGCACTGAACAGAGTTTGAGTGTTTTTACAAAATTTCATATTATAATATTTCTTATAATAAACAGTGATCATCTATAAAATTATTAAAATATACAGTAAAGGCATTCTAACCTTTCAAGATGATAAAACACCACCACAACAATGTTGACCTCGATTTTGGCTCGAGCATGCTTGAGCACTTTCGATCGATTTAATCGAACCCGACTCGAGCCGGATCAGACTCGAATGTGTTCAATTAGACTTGATTAGTTTGATTTCGTCGTACCATACTTAATTTGACTTAAATTAATTTATTTTGAACCCATTTTCGTACTCTTAATTTTGTTGCGTCGGCTCGAGCCCGGATGAATTCTAATTGAGTCAAATTCGGACTTGAGTCTAACTCAATCTTGGCTAAATTTGGCTTGATTCAGCTCAATTTGATTTTGGCAAGATCCCTCCGACTTTCTGTATAATTTAAATTAATTTACTAGATCTAGCAATTGCTTCAACGGCTCTGATCTCCTCATGTATGATCTCCTCATGTACGAGCTCTGTCGTTGCTGCAAGGCTCAGGCGCATGATACGCTCGCTTTAGGAAGGATATAGTCTTCGACCGATGGAGGATAGAGAGACATAGCACGATTTGGTGTTGGAATCGGGATCGAGAGGAAGAAACAACGGGATTATCTCCTATGTCCTCGATTCTCCCAGGCATTCGCTCCCGACCTCACGCCCGACTCCCTCTCCCTCTTGTGCTCTCTGGTTCGCGAAAACGCCAAGGAGCCGACAGCATCCCCTTCCTCCTCTCTCTCGCGTAAGCCCAGGCGGATCGATTCCGCCTCTTCCCTTCTCCCGTTCTCTCCGTCTCCTCCGTTCGCAGACGCCCCGAGCCCCCTTCTGGCTCCTTCGTTCGTGAGCTCCAAGAGAGCCGAGGATCTCTCCCCTCTCGGTTTGCTCTCTGGTTCGTAGAGGCCTTGACAGACAAGGCCCGACTCCTGATCCCGTCGT